TGTGATTCTTCCTCAACTAATATAATTACCATATATGTACTAACATGGCATCCCTCATTATTATATCCAAAAAGCAAATCTGACTACTCAACGACTTTGCCTTTGCCTTTCGTTATGCTTGACTCGGGAGCTTGATTTCAATATTTGGCTATGGAGGAGAGCCCTTACACGGGGAAGAAGAAAAAGAGATAACTTGGTTGGCTTTAATTTTCTCTTTTTCCCCCTCTTAAATCCCTAATAAGGAAAATAAATTTTAAAATTCATTTCCCCTTAAAGGACCAAAATTCCCTCCTTATTCACCCATTGTTACTAATTAGTCTTAAACACTATTCCCAATCATTTCTTATCTTTTATCATTTATTCAAATAAATCCTCAAATTTTAAATCTTTCCAATAAAGTGGTATTTGGGGTATTACATTGTGAGAGTGAATAGAGTCGTTGGGATGAAATTTCCCGCAATAAATGATGCCCAGACGCCTTGAGTACTGGTACTCGGGCTTGGAGTATCGGTACTGCCTGCATTAAATAAGGAGAAACCTAGCCGTTGGTGAGAGGGGAATATCAGTACTTCAACATGGGTATCGATACTTGAACAATATCGGTACAAAATTGGCTACTAGAATTTGCATTTTCTAAAATCACAAAGGGAGTATCAATACCACATGAACAATATCGATACTATTCTTGCAGTATCGGTACTATAGGGGTAAAAATTGATTTTTGACTCGATTAAAGTCCGAAACCCTTTATAAAAATGTTTGAAAATTAATTCCAATATATGATTTGAATTTTCAAAAAGAGTAAGGAGTAAAATGGATTTTTTGACATTAAAATAATTTACATATTCGAACGATTGAATCGAATATAAACTTGAAAGCTAAATCGAAAATAATCTTAAAATTTCTTTAAAATATTTATTTTTGGTTATATCAAAATATGAAATCATGGTTCAATAGTAACCTCACACCTTGGTTTTGTTTTTCACAATAATTAATATACTTATTATGTCGTTAATGCCATAAAAAGAAAGAAAAATAAAGTCATGGAGGAATTTGAACTTAAGCCAAATAAAGAACTTAAGCCAAATAAAGAACTTAAAACATGAAACCACTTAATAAAATCTTATATTTAATTAAAAGTTGGATAGATTTTTTATATTTAAAAACTAGTTTATACAAGATTAAAAGAAAAACTAAATTTACAATTTATATATTTATAAATTAAATTTAATATATTATTTTCCATTTTTATAATTCAAGGATTATATAATCTTAAAATGAGTTTTTCTTAATAATTTTATTTTTATTTGAAAAAAATGTATGAATCATTTATATTTTAATTAATTGTTATTAAATTGTGTAGTTCAAAATATATAATTTAATAATTTAATTGATTTTGTATTGGATTGTGTAGTTAAAAATGTATAATTTGGTATTTTAATTTTTTTTATTGAATTGTGCATTTCAAAATGTGTAATTTAATATTTTAATTAATTTTTATTGTGTAATTCAAATCTGTCCATGGTTTTTTTCATTTTTATACCATTAACTATAGAATAAATATATAAAAATTTGTTATGTAAAATAAAACTCAAATGATAAGGATATCTTAGTGTCTAGGCGTGCAAAATCCATCCCTAGGATCTGGGTATGAGTCCCTTTAATTAACAATGACATGTGTCACAATTTGATTGAAGGATTAAATTTATTGAATTAATTAAAATTACAACCAAATTGATATAATGTATATGTTTCGAGGACCAAATATATAATCATACTAATTTTGTTAATTGTCATGTCAGCACTTCTGTTAAAAAATAACGGCGAGTGACTCTATTGACAACAATTAAATTAATTAGATGATCTGATTAATAAAATTAAAAGATCGGTGATAAAAGTAAAAGGGTTAATAGTTAAGTGATCAATGATAAAGTTTACCTGTAATTTTAACCTTGAGGCAGAATTTTTTTTAAATCTTGATTAGTGGTGTAAATGAACCGAGCTTAAACGAACAAGCCTATGTTCGTGTTTGTTTAATTTTTTAATATCATGTTCGTGTTCATTCACGAATGTGTTCATTTAATGTTTATGAACATATTTGTTTAAATGTTCACGAACGTGTTTGTTTAGCGTTCATTTAACGTTCGTGAACATGTTCGTTTAGCGTTCGTTCAACGTCCGTGAACATATTTTTTTAGCGTTCATATAATGTTATTGAACATGTTCATTTAGCGTTCACGAACATGTTCAAAAATGTTACCAAACAAATAGAAAAGAACAAATTAAACAAAATCACCTAATAAAACTTATATAAAATCCACAATAACAAAATATAATCTTAAAACATACTAGCAGTATTTAGAAACATCCATAAATATTTCCATATTAAAACATCCACCAACATATCACATTTTAAAACATGCTTGAAAATAAAATGGAACCAAATCAGGCAGAATAGATTGTTGTAACAATTGGGTCAATCCCAACAAAATCAACAGAACAACAAAATCATACAGCAGCAGAAAACCCAAGATACACCACCTCAACTAGGAGGAAACACATGAACAAGAAGTAACAACAACTTAACAAAACACACTCGTCACATGGTGAGCAACACAATCAAAACAACAAAAGAAAGTGACAGACACAATTAAAATACCCTCTTTAATTACCTGCAGAACCTAAGAGATAGAACCAAACATCAAGAATGAGAAGACAAAAATATAACAATTTGAAAGATATCAATTATTAAATCGTATTGGCAAAGAAAAAATCAAATTGGTGCAAGAAAATTAAATAATTTTGAAATTCTTAAAAATTATAACTTCAAAGTAAAAAAATGTCTTTAATTTTTTTTCTCTACATAAAAAAAATTGAACAATCAAATTAAATAATATATCAAATATTAAATAAGTATAACAAATACTTAAAAAAAATACTTACTTTAGATTTCTTTTTCAATCCATAAAAGTTTCGATATCAATCAGAACCATAAGTAACATTTGCATCGTATCAATTTTTAAAGATGAACGATATGCATCAATCAATATCATCAGCACTATAAGTAGACATCTACTTCAACATTTGTCGAATTTTCTCACAGTTCTCACTTAATTGAACATGAGCTTTATTTATTTTTTTTGCCAATTGCATATATGTAGTGTACTTTGTATTTTGTTCTTTCTAGATTGACAGAGTTTAATAGCCTACTAAAGTTCAAAATCTGGATGTTATTTTGTTCCTTTCTTTCCTTGAGTACATGCATTGGTTATGCTTTTTACTTACAGACTTGACAGGTGCTAAAAGTGAAGAGTCAACAACTGAAGTGTTTTGGCTCTGCAAAAAAAAATTCTCAAGTATTTTCTAATGTTCATATTTTGACCTCTTCATTCACGTTTATGCTAATGCTATGTATTCCTCGAAATCTTTTCCATAACATATTCTCATATTTTTTGTTCTTCCAAAATTGTATCTCTGTAAAGTTAGCACCTAGTTTGTAATAGAAAAAGGATTAAAATTACCTTTTCAATTTTCTAAGAAGAAAGTGAAGGAGAGAGTTGCAGAAATCATAGAGAATATGCATCCATGAAATTATCTGAAATTCAACTAAAATTTTACCAGTTACCACAAAAAAAGTATTACTAAAATAGAGAGAAATCTTATAAATCCAACAAAAAAAAATCTCACCTGATCTTGACTGGGGCATAATAAACGAAGATTCATACTTATTTATTTAGCATAATAAACGAACGTTATATGAAAGATTCACAAATAATTCACCGACCGCTCTGTTTATTAAAATTAATTTTAACATTGTTTGAGAGCTCAACAGGGGAAATGAAAATCAATTTTACTTGGAATTGGGGTCCTGGAAGGTACCCCTCCTGCCCAGGCCCATTCGAGTCTGATGATCTAACATCAACTAATATCTTAATAAAAAAATTAAAATGTTGATCGAATCTAATATTAAATTATAGACATAATATCAAAATTAGTCCTCATTGTTTATTAAAATGATCATTTTGATTTTGGAAATATTTTGAGCTCAAATCTTATTTTAGGGTAAAATGATTTTTAATATTTGATTAAATAATCATTTTAACTCTAATTTATTTTTATTATAAAGTAATTAACTTCAAGCATTTCATTTATAGAGTAAAAAATCCTCTTTTAGAGCCTTAATTATTTATTAACTAAATTTTTTTTAATATCTCGAATGAAAAAATAATCAAAATTTTTAATGTTGAAATTTTTTTCATTCGAGATATTAAAAAAATTGAATTCGAATCCGAGGTGGCCCTCACTCTGCCCCATTCCAATCCTGCAAACGAATAAAACCGTTAGGGGTGATCTCGTAATTATTATAAAATCTCAATGGCAAATTCTAGCAGCGCCGAAATTTCAGTCCTGTGGACAGGGGTCTCGCCACCCGAAACCGCTGTGCTCGAACCCCGATAGCACTGCTTCTCGCTTCGAAGACAAAAAAAACCTCTTCAAACGTACTTCACTCTTTTACCCTCTCCACTAAACCCATCAACATAACGTTCCACCCTCAAAATTTCCACAAAAAATGGGGGATAATTTCGTCCAAAATGAAATACACACCCATATATTTATTTAGTTGTTTTTAATAATTTTCTGAAGCCAGTAATTTCAAATTTTGGATCGTTACAATTCCTCGGCACTATAAAAAAAACGCAGTCCAGAGTTGGGCTTCGCTAGCTTGTACCTTACGCTATGGATGTTGTCCCTTGTTCTTCGTTTTTATTTTTTCCGTAAAAGTTATTGTGCTTCGAACGCTACAGTGAAGTTGGCTTAACCGTAGTCGTCGCCTTTATCGACTCAACCTCGCCGCTTCCGAGTTTCCTAGGGCTTCTAAGTCAAAACCAGTTTTAAATTTCCGGGGGAAATGGCGGCAGAGTTTAGTTCTGGTTAGTTCAAGTGAAACCGGGCACTGTAGACTGAGAAAGAGAGGGTGAGCTTTGGACAGGTACAGAGAGATGGAAGAAGGTATGGAGGTGGAGATAGATCCAGTATTCGAGGTGAGAGAGATCGATCTTGACTACGAGTTTGATGCGGCTCGGTTCTTTGATTTCACGCGCGAGGAGTCGCCGGAAGAGGCCGGAGAAGCTGAACTTTGGTTCGATTCGGTGCCAACTCATCCTCCTTCTCGTCGGCTTCTCTTTCTCTTAATAATATTTGCTTGAACCATTCAATTTTCACCATTATTTTAGTTATTTGTTTTTTTATTATATTTGCATGAACTATTCAACTTTCTTTCTTAAAAATTGAGGTATAATATCGGGATCAACATTTCTTTACTTTTTTTTTTTTGGTTTGAAGCTTTTGTGACAAGGTTGGTAATAAGAGAGGAAAGTCTCCTGGAAAATGTGACTACGTCTCCAAAATGTGATGAAGATACTAGTACACTACATGAAAGTGATCCCGAAAATGTCATTGCCTCGGAATTTTCAGCTGTGAGTACCATCAACAGAGGTACAATTGGTAATGTTTGGTGCTTTTATTTCTTTGAGCAATCTTTTTATTTAAATGTTAAAGCCGAATACTACTGTTTAGCTGATATTAGAGAGCCGTGGAACTTGGTTTACAAAAGACAGTCTTTGAGGCAAGCTTGTGCTTCTGCAGGAAATTATATGAGGGTTGTGTTCCAGTGTTCTCTGTTTTAGGGGATAGATCACTGAGAAAATGGATACGAAAGGGTTGTTTTTCTTTCGAAAGCCTGAAAACTGTGGTGAATTAATCCTACTTTTTTTTAGGAAATGAAGGAGCTAACAGAGGGATCTCCACCAATATACAGAAAATTTTACGAAATGCTCTGAATCAGACATTTCAATTAACTACAGGTGACCAAGACACTTTTGCAAAGTGGTCTTCAGGTTTTTTTTTCTTGCCTCTCTTTTCCAGTGATGTTGCTTTCTCATTTTTATCGTTTTTGCCTTCTCTCAAGTATTATAATTCCCTTTTATCATTAATCCAACATTACTAAATATATTTTTGCACAGTTAATTTTTTTTCTGTTCCCTTCCCCAGGCTTGACAACTTACAATCACTTGCCCAGTGATAAGTTAAAAGCTAAATCTAAGAGTGCAAAACCTATGTCAAGGAGCTCAACTCTTATGAAACCTACTGCTAGCCAGTTAGCCAAACAAAAGTGCCCCCTTTAAGTTCCTACATGCAGGTAAGTAATGGAAATTCTGAGCAGGCTTTTTTCCCCTAATTTTCCTAGTCTTACAATCCAGGTATCTTACCTCTTGGAAGTGGCTGCTTCCAGTTTCATTTTCCTTGTAATGTAAAGGCATCCTAGTGTTAATTAGTGGATTTGTTTATGTGAAAGCTTCTATAATAAATATGTCTCATGGTGATGACTAATATCCTATTTGGCAACATTACATCCATAAAAATTAAGGTCTTTGTATTTGGTTTTCTATTGTAGATTTCAGAAGCTACAGGTGCTAAACAGTAACAGAAGCCTAGGAAATTCTTCTGTGGGGGGAAGCCAAGCTGCCAAGAGGCAGAAGCTGGAGGGAGGTCTCTTGCGTAAGGTAAATGAACTTGTGAAATTTCCTGTATTCCCACTATGGTTGCTTATGCTGCTGAACTTCTCATGGAAGCTATTTGTATTGAATTTGTTGGTTGTAAATCACGGTAATAGTTTTATATTGTTGAAGCTCGTTACCTTTTAACGTTCTCAAATTGGATACTGAAATGACTGAATGTTATCACTTATCACAAGGTTCTCTTATGGGTTGTGTTTTTTATAAAAGAAGTAACAGACCTATTAAAACTGAGAATAAAGGCAAACTAGATTCACATAGATCAGTTTGGCATCTGGCTTCACTTTTCTCGCGTTAGATTTCTTACTTTGGTATTTGGAATTTTATCATTAATTTCTAGTACTACTATGGTTCAGTTACATGTTTATTGAATAAACTTCTGATTAGGACTAACTTTTGTTCTGCATGGAAGGTTGATGAGGTGAAGCAGCAAACCACTTTGGTCCACAAGGCACCTAAAAAAGTATACCCCTGAATTATGTTTAGTGTTTGGGAGTGCAATTGGATCTTAACCTGTGTTGCATCTGAGACATTCTGAGCTTTTCTTTGTGGTTACGCAGGAAGGTAATAAAAATAGAAATGCCTCCAATACCAAGCTGAGGCTTACCATTCCAAGGGAACCTGAACTTGAAACTGCACACAGGGCTCAACGATTACGGTTAGTTCGGGTTATTATCTTTTACGTATTGAGGCATAAGTAAGAGTTTCCTTATCTTGCTGCTGGTGCAATTTTGTCTTCATTTCAGGCCTAAGAATAGTTCAGAAGAAGAGTTTGTTACATCTGCCACACATAGATTCAAAGCACGCCCATTGAATAGAAATGTCGGTACTTATGATTTTACTGAAGGGACTTCCTCCAAAGCTGATTTTATTGTATTTCTCTCCTCTCAAATATATGTTTTCAATTTGCAGATTCTCGAGGGTCCTTCATTGCCTGTTCCAAAAAAGAGTGTTCCAAAGTTGCCTGAGTTTCAAGTAATAAACTGCAGTTTCTTGCCTGTTCCTGAATTAATGGCATTTTGTGGAAGTATCAAAAGCAATGTTTTCTTTTAGAAAAATGAGGATTTTTGCATTCCATGTGTAGCTCAGATTGCTTTCTCATTTCTCCTCAGGAATTTCACCTGAAGACATTGGAAAGGGCTGTGCAACTCTCATCAGCTGTATCCTCCTCAATCCATACAAATGCTGCTAAGGTAACCACTGATATTTTTATTTATTTTACTTTTTTCTCTTATCCGGAAAACTTCTGTTGTTGTAGGGGTTTGAGAAACCTTGTACAATTTCTGATAATGGCAATGGAACTAGAGAAGCCAGAAGGTTAATGCTTTAAAATTACTATCTAGAGATTGTTTTTATACAGAATATATGCTTTAGGTATCTAGCATACATATATGCTTCTGCTATTCCTTTTGTAGTATGTGGTCCCTTTGTATAATCTTGGGTTTAATTTTGTACAGGGTTTCTGATAAAGGTGAGACTTAGGATTTTTTCCGCTTGTGTTGTTTTTAATTCCTTAGACCAAGTGTCATGGATGCCACTAGCCACGATGTTTGTGACACAAAGTACAACTTCAAAGCTCGTCCTTTAAATAGGAAGGTAAAGAAAGAATAAATTACATCAATGTACTGTTTGTGGTAAACCTTGAGCTGGTTATCAATGTTTCATATCTAATGAGAATGTAATTCCTTGTGCAGATATTTTCCAGTAAAGGTGATATTGGTGTTTTTCGAAATATCAAGACGGAAACACAGTGCCGATGGTATGGCATGGAAGATTTTTCCTCTTTTTATACATACTAATCGTTTGCTGAATTGTTTGAGATGATATTGTTCTTTGTCTACCATACAGGAATTTAATCTCCAAACCGAGAAGAGGGTTCTGCAAAATCCACCTGTCAAACTCTTTAGCAAGGTAAACCTTAATAAATATTTTGGTTTAAAATTTGAAGTGTTTGATTGTTTGGCGTTTTTGAAATTTACTCTTTTTTGTCAGCCAGCTCTCTTACATCTGAGATACACCCACGCAATGGATCTCAGATGAAGTGTCCTCGGCCTACCTTTATATCTAAAAAGGTTATCCTGGCGTTATAACTCTATTTTCTGTTCAGCACTTGTAAACTTGTGATTTTTCTGTGTTATTCATATGATTGTTGTTTGATATAAGGGCTCAAAAGAAAATAGATTCACTTCTTTCCGACCTGAAAACGAGGTGAGTTTCATAATTTTGTACAGAAGTTTGTTAGCATCTTTGTAGGTCGTTAACATAATTAATCTGTTTCTTCTTCCTTTGATAGTTATAGAGTTTCGAGGATGATTAAACCTACACAGATTATACAGGAGGTGGGGGCATCTGCTAAAAGTGAAGGTCGTGTTTGCTGATGGTTTGCAACATCGACATCCAACTTAATATGCTGCTGTTGCTTCTGAATTTTGAACAAGAGCGTAGATCCACAGAGATTTCTTTTTCCTGTTATAAGGCTTTACATCTAAAGGAACCGGCATGATGGATGTACTTTTGTGTGCTCCCTATGCTTTCTGGCTCACACAATTCACAAAGTGCATAATAATACTGCCCAAAAAAAGACACAACATATTGTACAGCCCAAACATGCTACATTTACTTTCTTACACCTCAAGACACCCTTTTTTGGCAGCACCACAACAAATGTTGAAGGCCATTGATGTATCCATCGTATTCAAGTCACCTTCGATCCCCTGCTTCTATGTTGTATTCTTTTATAAAATGTAATCAAAACCTTGTTCCCTTATAGCAATGGGGATGTCATTAGGAGACACTGTCGGTTAGTATAATGGCGGATCTAAAAAATTAAAAGTAGGATTTAAAAATTTAATCCTCTTTTTCTTTTTAAAATTGGTATGTAAATTTCTCTTTTTTCTTCTCTTGACGCAAAATTAAATATAGCAATTTCCTTAAAAAATTGGTTATACAGTTGTTTTCTTTTAGGACTCCTTATATCAAAGGGGACAACAATGAATCTAACTTAACGCCTTCAAAACAATTAAGATGATGAAGTGTAAGCATCATATTGACATGAATTCGGAGAAGACAAACAATGAAGTACATTCATTATAATTAACTAAAATTTTAATAATAGCGATGAATTTTTTTGTCGGTATATATTATTTAAAATTATTGTTTTATTATTTTATTTATTTTATATACATATAGGAAAAATTGAAGTTGTACATGAGGAAAAGATAAGAACTTCTTATCAGAGTGATCACAAGTTCAAGACACTCATTCATTCAGCGCAAAATATTGAAAAGGAATTTGCTATAATGAATGGTCAATTTGAAATATTAAAAGGTATCAATTTGAAATTTTAGTGAGAATATTAACATCGAGTAATGATAAAAGTTCAATACAAGATGGTGATTCAATAAAAGGATAAGATATACATAGTCGATCATCAAAGGAGGATGCTTTAAATAATATATCAGAAGAGACTAATTTACATAATGTTTCATTGAAAGATGAGTGTTTAGAAAATAAATCAAACATGGAAGAAGGATTAAGTGTCACATCATTGAATGAAGAAGTCGAGTGGTATTAAAAAACCGAGTTTGTCTCCTTTTATTAATTGTGATTGTGATTATCCTTCTCACTCATTAGAATGTAGTGGTAAAAGGAAACTTAAAGTTAATTCTGAAGACAACATCAAGACTAATAGTGATGGTTTCCCAAAAATTCCAGTTGAGGTCCCCATCGATTTCCTAGTCAATTAGTTACATCGAAGGAAACTCCAATGATTAAAAAAATTGGGCCTCAAACGTTTGACGGTCTTAAAGCTTTTTCAAAGATCAAAGGGTCTCAACAGAAAGAGTGTGAGATGTTCGACCGTACATTTAGATTTTACTGATGACTCAAAGTAGAAAGATATGACATCGAAAAAAAGAGCTAGAACATTTAAAGTGAATACCAAGGTATGTACAACTCATTCTTTATTGGTTATTTTCATGTTAAAGTTTGATATTATTTTAATACAGTAAAAATGTTTTTTAGAGTTATGTTTTTCATGCACTATAAATATGAGGAAGAAGATTTGTTATCAGAAAAATTCCAAAGAAACTGGAGTATTTAACGCGTACAAACAATATTTGAAATTTTTAATGCCTGAAGAACGCAAAACTTATACGAATGTTGCTACTTGGAATGATACATCCAACACTCTTTAAATGGCCAAGAATACTAATTTGGACGTTACCAATGCTCATACTATTTTTCTAGAAAAATTGTTATCTGATTGAGTATTATAGATTAAATTATTAAATATTTTACATTATCAATATTAATTATTTTTTCTGTTATTAATACAAGTGTTTGTATTGTTTTCAAATATTTAATATTTTACCGATCTCTATGTGTATGATTTGCACTTGAGAGAAGAGCCTATGCGAAAGAAGTTATATTTGCCTCTGTCCTTTGAGATAAAAAAATAATTTATGGGCTAAGAAGCACATTATTTTTAATTTATGATTTCATGATATTTTTAATTTAATGTTTGTCTCATAGTATCCTTACCGAATATTTCACACATGCTCAGAAGGCAAAAAAAAAATACTAGCATTTTCAAATTTTATATCTGATGGATAGAGAACTTTATACCTATTTATAATAGTAATGTTGAACAAATATATTTATAATTTGTTCTTTGCTTGTATGTATTTGACAATGATTTTTTAACTCACATGATTTTGCAAGTATATGTACCATTGCATTATGAAGAAGGTCATCATTGGTTTTTATTAGTTGTTGATGTTGTGGAGGGACATAATTACGTTTTGGACTCTCTTGACGTCAATGAAGTGCATAAAAATATTGTCGAAAATATTGTAAGTTCTTTATTCATTTAGGAGAACTAATAGAATTCATGTAGTTTTCAAAAATAAATCTCTTAATTTTTGTTTCGACTTATTATAACAGTTGAGTAAAACTCCACTTATGTATGAGAGTCATACTCATTTGGGTAGATTATTTGAATAAAATTTTCAATCCATTTTATTGAATTACCAAAGCAAACAAATTCGTATGTAATTTATATTTTAAATAAAAGCTAAAGTCGATAATAAAAGTATTTTGTCGGAGATTATTTTCACGGTAAAGTATACCATGTAATTTCTTTTAACTATTGTGTAATATTGAATAATATTATGTATTTATTGTGTAGACGCAACAAATGAGAGTTAAATGACTGAGAATTTTGACAAAACTTATCACGAGCAACCACAATGGAGTTGGTCTTTTCAATTGTCGTAAACTGCCTATACATGATTAAAAAGTTGAGGATTTTCGATGTAGTTTCTTCAATGGAGAATAATGGTGGTGTATTGGATTTTTCAAAGCATGACATACATTTGAGTATTATTATACGTGTTATGATATATTTTGTGTGTGTTGATTCCGAAATTGTAGCATTCAATTCAACATAATGTGTGTTGATTTCAAAAATTTAATTAAGAACCAAAACAATACTCAAACATTACAATGTTGCTTCCAATATATATTGATTTTTAAAGTTTTTGTTTAGTTTATTGAATAATGGAAATTTAAGTTGATCGAACATATGAAGCACAAATACTTATTCCCAACTAGCATGATTTGTCCCCATCGTATTAGTACCCATGCACTAATGTGGTTGTATCGGTACACTCAATGTGGTTGTATCGGTATGCTCAATCTGGCTGTATCGGTACATTACCCATATCGGTACATTTGTAACACATTAGAATTCCATAAATTCTTAGCATATCTATACACCTACAAGGTCGTACTGGTACACATAGACCAAAATTGAACTTTTTGTTATTCTTAACTTTGTAAATTGTAAATTACCTTTAAAATTATACTCAAAATTATTTATCTAGATATATTAGATGTCTGAAGCAGAAGAATCATCTCAAACGATTGATCTTGAACTTCATGAAGAAGCTAGTAGTAGGGGTAAGGAGGTTAGTATCAATCCTCTTGCACAACCTGATCATGGTGGTGCGCTGACACAACAAGGAGTGTTAGTGCCAGCGTTATCATCTGATAATGTTGAAAGGAACATTGGACTTGATTCAAACAAAACAGAGAAGACTTTAGTATATCGCCCTAGAAAGGTCAATGTTGTGAGAGATTCTCCTCCATTTTTTAGAAGGAATGCCCTGCCTATTAACGAGGAAGAAAGTGAGATGTGGTTACAGCTTACTTGTTTGAAAAACGAGGATATCATTTCAGAGAAATCTATTGTTATGTCTCAAGAATATGCAAATGACCTTGAGATCGAAGATGATCCCGAGATCGAGGATGACCTTGATATCGTTGATGATTTTGAGATTAATACAGGTACATTTTAATTCCTAGATAAATTTGTATATAAGTATTAAGTTGATTAAAGAGAGAGACATCTGATTAGAATCGATCTTGAGTAATAGAGTAAAGACTAAACCCTTTAGGCCAGAGGGCAAGGGTAAATAGTATATAAACAATTCACTAAGAATTCAGAGAGAGTTAAGTTCATGAACTTGATGGATTTATTCTTATCATTCGAGAAATTTGAAATAATTCTGGGTATGGATTGGTTATTCCCCTACTAGGCCATAATAGATTGTCGTTTAAAGCAACTAATTCTGAAATGCTCTGAGGGTTTTGAGATTATAGTAATTGGAAAAATAAAATAAAGATAAAATTATTGTCTAATGTGATTTTAGTAGTAACTGTTAATAAGTTATGGTTATGAGGATGTCAAACCTTTTGACTAATGTAGTATATACTCAAGTTCAAAAGTTAAGTTAAAATATATCTCAACTGTTCTAGAATATACATATATGTTTTAAAAGAAATTACTGGAATTATCTCCATATTGAGAGACAAAATTTAAGATAAAAGTACTATTGGGTATTGTGTTCATATTTATGATTTTAGTTAGAGTGACTCCAACCGAGCTAAGGAAATTAAAATTACAATTATAAGAATTGTTGGATTAGAATAAGATTGAGAGTGTCGTCTTGGGGCACACTGATGTTATTGGTAAAGAAGAAAGACGATTTTATGTGGTTATACATAAAATTACCATCAGTTAAGTGAAGTGATAGTAAAAGGTAAGTATTTTTTCTAAGGATTGATGAACTCTTTAATTAGTTAAAAGAACACATCGATGTTTCCTAAGATTGATCTTTGATTTTTATTATCATCAATTAATGATCGAAAGAAAGATATTTCTAAAATGGGTATCAGGACCCATTGTGATTAATACGAGTTTGAGGAATCGCTATTTGAGTTGAACAATGTTCCTGTAGCATTTTTGTTTAGATGAATCAAGTTTTTTCATCCATAATTAGATTAGTTGTGGTGGTATTTCTCAATGATATTCTGG